CTCTCTCTCTCTCTCTCTCTCTCTCTCTCTCTCTCTCTCTCTCTCTCTCTCTCTCTGTGTGTGTGTGTGTGTGTGTGTGTGTGTATGTGTGTGTGACGAGGCAGAGTCAGAGGCAGAGAGAGAGAGGGAGAGTGAGAGCACACACACACACTCACTCAACTCGACGCAGACTCGACACGAAGTGGCAAAGTCGCAAAGTCGCAGTCTTGGATTTCCGAACACAATGTCGAAGCAAGTCACACTGAAGCACAAGCACTGAGGCCGAAAACTTAATGCCCGTACTGGGCTTGAGTGCGGTCTCAAGTACCGGACTCAAGTTCAGTCCGGAGGGCAGAAGTGCGATTGCCTCAGGACTGAACTGAGAATCGAGAGTCTGAGTCTGGGCGCCAGAATGTCGGATGGCGCCAAGTGTCGAAATTCGAAAGTGCCAAAGGAGGGATTTGAAAAACGGGCGCCAACTGCAGAGGGAGCCAACAGTCAGAAACCGAAGAGCAGGAAATAAAAAAAATAAAAAATAGCAGGCTGGCGGGTGGTACCCTGCGGACCAGGGATCGAGCCCTGGCTGAGTCCGTAACACTATCCCCTCCCTCTAGAAGGCAACGTCCCGACTGCCAAAAGCCATGAAACAATGCTGAAGTCTGTGAAGGACGTGACGGGGCCGATCACTGGTCAACATGTCAAAAGGAAGAGGGGTATAATGTGGGTCGCCTGGGACAGGGAGTAAGAAGGAACAGGGTTATCCTATCAACGAGCTAAGGGGTTTTGCAGGGTATGAAACGGTATTCACCAGTTAGCAGTAGCTGCCGCAGATCCCAGGGTTCGATCCCTAGACCCCAACCTTACCTGTGTCGTCCTGTAGAGTTGAACCCACGACCTGTGTATTTCTAACGGTCAATAGGTTGTCATAGGGTCCGTAGGTAACATGGGTTCGATCTGTAGACCTGTAGGATAGGAGTCCTAGTCAGGTCTAGTGGTCGTAGCTGTAGTATTCTCGAAAGGTCAAGGCCGTAGCTGCTACAGTCCAGAAGGGTCAGAGTCGTAGCTGCTACAGTCACGAAAGGCCAAGTTTACGGCCTTCCGGAAGGTCCTAGTAGTGGCCTTTCGTAGTTGCCCACGTTTAGGCAGAGGCAAGTGGTCAAGTGGTGAGGCAAGTGGGCAAGTGGTGGAAGTCTACCGTGTTGAGTCAATAGTCCCAGTCCCGAGTCAGTCAAGCAAGTACCACGAGGGACTGTGAGCACCATGGGCTGATGGCAAAGGGCAGACCAACGAGTTTCAGAAGTATAAATCAAGAGGCAGCGCCCAGCCATTCATTCATTCCTGCGTGAGCCATGTGGAAGCGCTGCCACAGCGACTTGTGCAAGGAGGTCTGCAGTGAGCCCGGAGGACGCAGTGGGCGAGAGAGGAGCTTTGTATAGCGATAGGGCAGAGGCAGGCATAGCTGCCATAGCGGTAGTTAGTGTGAAGTGCGTGTGTGTATGTGCGAGTGTTCAGAGTTACGCGTGTGGGATATCCAGGGTGATTCGGTGTATGTGAACAGTGAGTTGTTTGGGCGCTGAGTCACCATAATTGGAAGTGAACTCGTATCTGGATACCATATCTCTGAGTTTTGAGTGGTCGCATGTCGCCAGTTTGCTGCGCTGCTGTTTACATGCATGAAAAGTGTGAATGAGGACGAGTCTGATTGCATTGGTGTCGGAGCTGGTACCCGCTATTCCATGCGCGCCGTCGTATGCAGGACCTGATGCGCCATAGCCGAGGTGGCCGCCGAAGGCTGTAGTCCGCCATAACGGACCTGAGGTTGGAGAAGCCGCCGGGCAGCTGCAAAGAAGACCACGACGAAGACGAAGAGAGAGAGAGAGAGAGAGAGAGAGAGAGAGAGAGAGAGAGAGAGAGTAAGGTTGAGCGAGACAAGATTGGGTTACTACATACCTGCTGCGCCACGGAGAGAGAGAGAGAGAGAGAGAGAGAGAGAGAGAGAGAGAGAGAGAGAGAGAGAGAGAGAGAGAGAGAGAGATGAGCGATACAAGTTTGGCTGTTACGTACCTGTGAAGCGGACTGTGCAGTCCCACGTGGAGGAAGGAGAAGCGGACATAGCCGCGAAGTGTCACCACGGAGTAACGAAGGAGGGAGAGGGACCGGACAGAGGGGGAGAGACCAAGAAGGGAGAGGAGGAGGCCATAGCCGAGAGGTGAAGTGAGGGCCGATCAAAAAAAAAAAAAAAAAAAGAGAAAGAGAAAAAGAAGACAGCCGGGGTGAAAGGAGGCGAGGAAAGTGAGAGGAAGAGAAGAAGGTTGGTGAGGGAAAGAGAAGCCGACAGCCATAGCTAACCGGAGGGTTCACCAGAAGAGTTGACCGGAGGCGTTGACCGGCGTTGACCGGAGTTGACCGGGGGCTGACCGGTAGTTGACCACAGCGTTCACCGGCGTTGACCAAGACTTTGACCGAGTTGGAGCCGGTAACATCTCGCCAAGCCTTCAGCCTGTCCCTCGCCCTATGGATGTGCACACACCCCTTGGTACTTGCTGAGTCCAGTCTGTCTGTCTATTCTTTCTGCATCGAGTCTCTTCTGTCCTAGGTGATAGTACTCTGTGGATGAAGGATAGGGTCTTGTTGACCAAGCCCACACGGGATGAGTAGGGCTAAAGACTGTGTCTGACAACTCGACTGTCCCGGAGGTCAAACCCTCCTAAGGACCGGTACTGACCGGCGGGCTGCTCGGTGTGGCACGGTAAGCCCGAAATCCGAGCTGTGGGTTGCACAACAGACCGTCTAAGTCTTGAGAGACCTGCTGATCGCGTCGTCTTGTCTGCAATGTTAAATAATTTCTGAGGAGTTCGGGGGATCTCCTTAAATGCCTCCTTATCAGCAACAGGTCTAGTAGTTACAGCCATAGTGTAGGTCTAGGCTAAAGACCATAGTTGACAGGATCTCTGTCCGGATTCTGTGAGTCCTTAAATTGAGTCAGTAGGTTTGTCAGTCAGCGGTTAGAGTCTACGTGGTGAGGAGTGGAATCCTCCTGATTGTGCACCGATCACCATGGTTGAGACCCGTAGTGGGAAAGATACTAGCCCCTACACCCCTGAGCAACAAGAGAAAATGGCCGCCTTAGTGAGAGAAAACAAGGAGAGGAAGGAGCTCGAGAAGCAGGTGAAGCTAAAGGCTATCGCAGAGGAGCAGGCGGTGAAGATGAAGAGATTGGAGGAGGAGATGAAGAGGGTCCAACAGGAGGAGGAAGAAAGAAGGAAGGTTGCGGAAGCAGAAGTAGCAGTAGAAGAAGAAAAAAAGAGAATGCGCATTGAGAGTGGAGAAGGGAGTACTGGCACGGTGAAGAGAGATACGGACGCAGAGATGGAGAAAAGGATAAGTGAGTGGGTCGCTAATTTATCGTTGGGAGAAGACGAGGAGGCGGAGTCTTATGTGACTCAGGATGAGAGGGATGCGCTAGCCAGTGAGCTAGCAGCAATGAAGGACCCTATGGAACGGCGAGAAAGGAGGAGGAATAGAAGTTGGCTTGGAAATTGAGGATGAAGAGGGAGAAGAAGAGGAGGAGAGAGGAAGTCAGCAACCTGACCGCAGAGGTGGCGAAGGTGCAAGATTTTAGGAAAGAAGTGCAGGCTCAGCCAGATGACAAAGCTAAATGGGATAAGGTGTTGGTGTACTTGGAGGTGTTGAGAACAACATGGATGGAGGAGCGCCAGGCCAGTTGGAGCCAAGAGGTAGCCTTAAGTGCTATGCGGTCGGGGTTTAGAGATTTTGCGCGTGAGATAGTCACCCACATTGGGGGCGAAGTCAAGCAACTGAGAGACAATGTGGGGAAGTTTTGTGAGGGCGCTATGGAGGGCGCCAAAGCGATAGCCGCTGTAGAGGGCGAGGCCAGGCCTCGCAAGGATCCAGTTAAGCTTAAATTCCCGGATGCATTAGGAGGGAAGAAGGAGGAGAACGTTGACAACTGGGAGGCCAGTGTCAATAGTTACGTGTATCTACAGCACATCCTGTCAGAGGAACAAGTCCTCGTGGCCTTCCAGGCCCTCAAGGATGAGGCGGCTAGCTTTGCTAGATCCCTTGCTCGCGCAGCCGGTTGTGAAAACAACCTGGTTGCATACTCAAACGTCACCCCCCTTCCTCAATTCTTTAAGCTCCTGAGGGAGCGATTTGCAGACCCAACAAGAGGCGTTCGCGCCTCGGACAAGCTACAAACGATCCACTCTCAGCAGTCAAAAGGCAGCCGCCAGTAGGGGTCGCAACTGCCCCTACTTCAAAGCCATGTGGAGAAGTGAGCGCGCGCGAACAGGACACTCCCAACCCACATGAGCCTATGGCAGAGGTTGCAGGCACGTGCCTAGCTAGCTGTCCAGAGACCGCTTGTGTTAGCGTCTCTTTAGGCACGTCCCTCACAGGCGTGGCAGAAGAGTTGAAGGAGAGAATGCCAACGTAGGCCAAAATGAAGAAGGAGAATAAGGGACAGCTGAACTTAGTAGACGTAAAGGTGTTTAGAAGTAGAGTAGGGGCCCTTATAGACTCAGGGGCCACCCGCAGTTATATCAGCGGTAGGGCGCTGAAGAAGCTGAGGCTAGGATTAAAGGTCAAAAAGTTAGAAGACCCCATAGTCAGTGTTCTAGCAGACAACTGCAGAATGCGTGTTGAGAACTATGTAGAGGGAGTCCAGGCGTACTTCCGCCTAGAGAAGGATGGGAAGGTGGAGAAAGTTCTCCATTCCCTGACTCTCCTCGTGCAGGATGACCTTCCTTTCGATATGGTGTTAGGAATGGATTGGGGAGAGGCAGCAGGGGCCACACTCCATTTGAGAGAGCATGAGTGTAGGCTCCCTAGTCCAGCAGGTGAGGTAAAGATAGCCCGCCTGTTTCATGTGTTAGGGGTAGACAACACTCTGGCACACTGCTGCCTTAGTGCTCCCTCGTTCGCGCGGTTAGTGAAGAAGGAGCGACTAGAAGAGCAGGTCTTTGTAGTCTATGTTAGACCTGTCTTTGAGGCTAATGAAGAGGTGAGTTCCACGGATCCAACCATAGCCAAGCTGCTGGAAGAGTTTAAGGACTTGACTGAGTCGCCGACAGGAGTAGTGCCGCGACCCATCCAACACAGGATAGAGATAGAACCTGGCAGTAGAACTCCTAAGGGAGCAGTCTACAGATGTCCCCTTGAGAGTTAGAGGAGCTGCGCAAGCAAGTAGACGAGCTCCTTGAGAAAGGTTGGATCAGGCCCAGCTCGTTTCCTTTTGGAACACCAGTCCTGTTTGTCCCAAAGAAGGAAGGAGAGTTGCGTATGTGTATAGACTATAGGGGCTTAAATGCTATCACAGTGAAGAATGTTGAGCCGCTGCCCAGGATAGACGATCTCCTAGATCGGGTGCAGGGTTGCAAGTATTTCTCCAAGATAGACTTGAAGTTCGGATACCATCAGATAGAGGTCCATCCTGATGACCAGTACAAGACTGCATTCCGGACTAGATATGGGCATTATGAGTTTATAGTGATGCCCTTTGGACTGACTAACGCGCCAACGACGTTTCAGCGATGTATGAATGACCTGTTTAGACCATGGTTAGATAAATTTGTAGTAGTCTACTTAGATGATATCCTAGTCTTTAGTAAGACCCTCCAGGAGCGCACCAGGGTCATCTGAGGCAGGTCTTGGAGAAGCTATGAGAGGCTAAACTTCAAGATCAACGCAAAAAAGTGCGAGTGGGCCAAGACTCAAGTCTTGTACTTGGGCCACATATTGGACGGAGATGGCATTAAGCCAGAGGACAGCAAGATCGCGGCGATCAGAGATTGGCCGACGCCCCGCACATTGACAGAGTTGCGGTCGTTCCTAGGCCTAGCGAATTACTATAGAAAGTTCGTGGGAAACTTTTCTACTATCTCCGCTCCCTTGCGCAGGTTGCTTAAGAAGGAGGCAATCTGGCAATGGGATAGAGATTGTACGTCTGCGCTCAAGAAGTTAAAGCGCGCGTTAATAGAGTACCCTGTCCTAAAAGTAGCAGATCCGTCTTTGCCATTTGTCGTCACCACGGATGCGAGTCAGTATGGGATAGGCGCCGTGTTACAGCAGGATGACGACAATGGTTATAGACCCGTAGAGTTCATGTCAGCGAGGATGCCCTCAGAGAAGGTCGCTACCTCGACGTACGAGAGAGAACTCTACGCTCTCAGGCAGGCTCTAGAGCACTGGAAGCATTACTTGCTTGGGAGGCACTTCAAAGTGTAGTCTGACCACGAGACACTTCGATGGTTAAAGACTCAGGCCAAGATGACACCTAAGTTGACTAGGTGGGCCGCTGAGATAGACCAGTACGACTTTGAGCTCAAGCCAGTAAAGGCCAAGTACAACGTAGTTGAGGACGCTCTAAGTAGGAGATCAGACTACTTTGGAGCCATAGTACACTATCTGGATATAGGGAGAAGACCTGCAGGAGAAGGTGAAGCAAGCGTATGCGCAGGACCCCATCTATAGTGACCTCCTAAAGAGAGTTAGAGAGGCCCCAGAGATTGAGCCAGATTACCGCACTACATAGGGATTACTGTTCGAGAAGACTAATGTATTTGACTGTCTGTGCGTCCCCAACAACGAAGAGATTCGTAGTTTGATTCTAGGGGAATGCCACGATACTGAGGGACATTTTGGTTGGCAAAAGACTTTAGCCAACGTGATGCGTGCATACACCTGGCCAGAAATGAAGAATGACTGCATAGAGTATGTCCGCAGTTGCAAAATTTGCCAGAGGAATAAGACTACTACGCGTGCCCCTCTAGGTCTTCTCAAACCCTTGCCTATTCCTGATCAGCCGGGAGACTCAGTGTCCATAGACTTCATGGACACCCAAGTCAAGAGCAGACATGGTAAGAGCCAAGTCATGGTCATAGTTGACCGATTTAGTAAGTATGCAGTTTTTGTTCCTTTGCCTGCAGAGGCACGTACAAACTTAGTTATACGGAAGTTCTTTGATTCTTGGGTTAGTGAGAATGGAATCCCATTATCGATAGTTAGCGATAGGGATAGTCGTTTCACCAGCCAGAACTGGCAAGAACTCATGAGAGTCTACGGATCTAAGTTGTTAATGTCGTCTGGCCGCCATCCAGAGACTAACGGTCAGACTGAACATATGAACAAGATCCTCCAGCAAGTTCTGCGCATGTACATTAGACCTGACCAGATCGACTGGGATGAGATGTTACCCAAGGTAGCTAGTGCGTACAATAACAGTGTGCATCTGTCCACCTGTCGTTCTCCCAATGAGCTACACAAGTCCTTTAGACCTCGCAGACCATTCGAAGGACTGAACCGGGATCAGGGAGTTCGCGATAGAGCACGAGAAAGAACTAGCAACCGTTGTAGAGAACCTCAGGAAGGCCCAACACAGAATGATAGACCAGGCTAATAAGCATCGTCGCCCGTCACAGTTTCAAGTAGGCGACTTAGTCTGGGTCAAGGCTAAAGAGTTTGCACCTGAAGAGAGCATCTCGCAAAAGTTATTGCCCGCGTACAGAGGACCATGGCTAGTTCTAGAGGTTAAGGGCGGAGAGGATGGACCGTCCTACACTATAGAGATCCCAGCACACCTCCACACCTGTTTTTCACGCATCAAAGTTGCTGCCATGTGTCACCAGTCACCAGTTCCCATCTAGGCGGTCCATGATCCCACCTGACATGGATGGCAAATATGACATTGACGGCAATGTAAGTGAAGATGTATTCAGGACAGGAGGTAGAGGTCGTCTCCAGAAACAGTACAAGGTCCGGTTTGCATATCAGGAGCCGGAGGATGACCGCTGGTGTACAAGGTCAGAACTTCTAGAAAGAGCTCCCGACATTGTTAGAGCCTACGAGAGAGATCAGAGAGGGAAAGGTCCTGCCTTGGACTGAATTATTCTCGGAGGACCTCGAATTTAGGACGGCGGGAGTGAAACGGTATTCACCAGTTAGCAGTAGCTGCTGCGGATCCCAGGGTTCGATCCCTAGACCCCAACCTTACCTGTGTCGTCCCCTGTTGAACCCACAACCTGTGTTTCTACCGGTCGATAGGTCGTCATAGGGTCCGTAGGTAACATGGGTTCGATCTGTAGACCTGTCGGATAGAAGTCCTAGTCAGGTCTAGTGGTTGTAGCTGTAGTATTCTCAAAAGGTCAAGGCCGTAGCTGCTACAGTCCATAAGGGTCAGAGTCGTAGCTGCTACAGTCACGAAAGGCCAAGTTTACGGCCTTCTGGAAGGTCCTAGTAGTGGCCTTTCGTAGTTGCCCACGTTTAGGCAGAGGCAAGTGGTCAAGTGGTGAGGCAAGTGGGCAAGTGATGGAAGTCTACCTTGAGATCAGATGTCATGGTGGAGAGGAACTAGCCGTTTTTTGTGGGCCAGCTCAAAACGGCTAGCTCCGGAATGAGGTGGTAGCCCAAAATGGAAAGAAACAAAGGAGGGAAAGGGAGAAAATTGTGCATTTGGCCCCAAAAGAGAGCCAAATGCAGCAAAAATTGAAAAAGTGGACTTGGGGGTGG